GCCATTTTGGTCACTGAATAATTTTTGCAGAACTACGGGGCTCTCTTTTAAATCCTTACATACTCCTCCTCTTCTTTTTTTATTGTGGTAAAAAAAAAGCATAACTTTAAAAAGAAAGTATTGCTACCCCCCCCCCCCCAAAAAGAAGCATAACTTTAAATTTACCTTTTTTTTTTTGAGGAAGATTAGCCCTGAGCCAACATCTGCCACCAATTCTCCTCTTTTTTGCTGAGGAAGACTGGCCCTGAGCTAACATCCGGGCCCATCTTCCTCTACTTTATATGCGGAATGCCTGCCACAGCATGGCTTGCCAAGCGGTGCCATGTCCGAACCTGGGATCCGAACTGGCGAACCCCAGGCTGCCAAGAAGCGGAACGTGTGCACTTAACCGCTGTGCCAGCAGGCCGGACCCTTAACCATTTTTATGTGTACAGTTCAGTAGTGTTAAGTATATTCACACATTGTGCAACAGATCTCTAGAACTTTTTCATCTTGCAAAACTGAAACTCTATAGCAGTCAACATTAATCCTCCCTCCCTCCTTTTCCCAGCCCTTGGCAACCATCTTTCTACTTTCTGCTTCTATGATTTCGACTACTTTAGATACTTCATAAGAGTGGAAATATACAATTTTGTCCTTTTGTGACTGCCTTGTTTCACTCAATGTAATGTCCTCCAGGTTCGCCCATGTTGTAGCATGTGACAGGATTAAATCTTTACACACTCTTCTTGACACTCTTTCTTCTAATGGTCTGTGCCATAAACTTTAGATCTTTGTTATATGCTGCCTGACACAACTCTCTAATTGTTCCATGTGTATATGGCTCCTTCTCCTCACTAGACGGTACCTCTTAGTGATCAAACACCATGTCTTCAAAGTCTTTTAGAATCCACCTAGCACTGCAGTGAGAACACGGAAGATACATCCTGGACAGCAAACTCTGTGAGATCAGGAACGATTCTGTTTTATTTATCACCACTCCTCAGTGTCTAACATAATACCTGACACATGTAAAATGAATGTGGTATATTTTTTCAAGAAAATAACAAACAACATTTCTAAGGACTGATTGAGAAAGAAAAGATGAGAAGTCAGAGACCTGAATCTCCAGCAACATTTCTAAGAAATAATCTAAAGGAATGGAGAAAAGTATTAACTATACTAGAATCAGAATCTCTGAAAAACTTGTTCCTAAAAAGTATGTAAAGCAGAATACCAGACTCTTTACAATTTATTACTGGAAGAGTAAGATGGCGGAGGGACAAGGTGACACGAAATATAGCCCAAAGTTCCAAGATTTGGTGCTTCACTGTCCCCCACTCCCCAGCACAGAATTTAAAGTTCTGACATGGAGATGTTCTCTAGAGTGGGGGCCGGCCAGGCCGAGCAGCCCATGCCCATGATGCCTTGCCCTGTCACAAAAAGAAGGAACAAACTCATGGCTGTGCTTTCAACCTCCCCCACCTTTAACATCGAGGAACAGACAAATCCCCAGGTTGCATGTGTGAAAAAGCCAGAGATGGATAAAAATAATTCAATGACAAATGCTGGAAAAACATACAAAGGGGCAGAAGCCAGACATTCGTGGGATTCCCTGACAGCTCGATCCACAAGGAAGGGCTGGACTGGAAAAAAACAGGGCCTCAGGTTCCTGCCAAGCCGTCTGAGGCCCTGTCCTTCCCAAATCATTCCAAGCAGCAGCCAAGACTTTACAGTAACCCTTCCAGGTCTCACACAGAAAGATGCACTGTGAACCCACTGAGTGCGCCTCACCTAGGAAACGCTCCTGCCTGACATGTTCCAATTCCATGTAGGTTGGCAGAAACGAGGAGATGCCTCTACACACCAACCCTCAGCCAACGCTCCTCATGTGCCCAGAAAATAGATAGTTAAAAGGCAGCTTGAAAAGTCCTACCTACTTCATTTGCTAAAGAAAAGCTTAAATACCCAGGTATCAACATCTAGAAACCAAATACGATCCCTTTAAGAAAAAAGAGGTCATGAACACTCTGTACCTGCATCCTGGAGGCTCTATTGTATAATTCAAAATTGGCCTTGCTCAGAGGCACACCTCAGGCTTCTAAACATGTGACTGTATTTGGCCCTGACTACTTTCTCTTCTGGAGAATGGCCTGCAATTAATCTCACTTATTACCTCTGAAAAGTAACAACAGAGGAATGGCTGGCCAAGTCCAACTCCAGAGTGTCTAGGGAACTGCAAGCTACACGGCCAGGCCTCAGACTGTCTGGGCAAGTCATGGGCTCTCTGCCGTCCTCTCCCACAACAAAGCTCCAACAGGGGCTCCAGACAGACCAAAGGAACCAAGGGATTTGAGGAGCTGGGCTGAGCTCACCCTGACCCAATGGGAGACAACAGCCCTGAGGCTACATTTGGGGTGGTTTCAAAACAGCGGGGGAAGAACAAGGTTGTCTGGTGAAAACTTGTGTGATCCATAAAATTGAGAACAATAGCAACACCACAGGGAAATGAAAAATAACACTATTTGCAGAGTTCTCGTGAGTCACCAGTTTTCATTCCTGTGGCTACCAAGTCACTGAATCCTCCAATATGCAGAAGAAAAGTACAGCCAGCAATGGATGTTCTTTACATCTTGTTACTGTTCACAGGGCAGCCTCTAGTCTAGTGAATTATCCGAGTTTATCAGCACTGGAATCCTCTGAAGCTATTATAGAAGTAGTAAGAACATCTTTTATTTACTTAGCACCCACTTCCAGGGAGATCAAAGTGCTCAAAGGGCAATCTAAAAGCTCTCAAAAGAGGCCAGTTTATATGCAAGCATGCTTACCCAATAAAAAGATTCAATGAATAGTTTAGGGTCACTTAGTGTCGAAAACAGTAATAAAACTCACATCTCTAAGCTTCTAATCCCATATTCATTAAACTTAGCCTCCCTTACTACTAAGGGAGGAATAGCAAGAGACTAAATACCCACAAAACAGTGACTTACCAGGTGGAAACAGAAATTGGGGCACAGTACTGTGAGCATGCCTGCTGGAGGGCTGGCTGGGGCCCACATCACAGCCAGGTCTGGAAGGACCTCGGAGAATTCACTTAGGTCTGGTTTAGGGTGGGTACCTCTGGGAGTTCCACGTGGAACTGGAACTCCCAAGCTGAGCCTCCAGGCTGTCCTGGCAACCAGAGGTTATCTGGGGGCAGAGGGAGATTTCCTAGCGCTACTCTGGACTGGAAGGAGACCTGAAAACTGGCCCTTGAAGAGTAGGTGCAGAGAGGACTTTGTGGGTACAAGTGACTGGAAAAGGAAAAGACCAGAGGACTTTGTGGGGCTGCTTTCCCATGCCAGTGGCCCTGAAGGCGATCATATAACGTGTCATTCTACTGCAGCTCACGAGCAGAGTCTGGCTGGGCGAAGGCCACTCACAGTGCTGGACTCTAGGTCCTGGCTCTGACCTTGACAGATCCCTTCATCTTTCTGTGTCTCAACCCTAACAGGTGCTGCCAAGAGAAGGCTCTAAACTCAGCCATAATTTTTATTAAAAAAGTTTTCCTCATTCCATCTACAAGTATAAAAAATGCTAAAACTCTACTTCTCCAAAATGTGCAGTTTTGACATTTTGTTTATACTATGGAAAATGGTTGTAGCCTTGTCATATAGATAACATATCCAAGATTGCAAGATTCTTGCTTTCCATAGAAACAAGGCTCTGATTGTAAAATGAAAATGGAATATTTGGAAATATTTTATATGGAAAATAAAGCTCTATGGTATAAACAGAATTTCTTTTTTACGACTTATGTTTTAGGAATGTGGTTACTCTGTAGATTGTAAATCACCAAACGACAGACTTCTCCTGTGAGGAGAACTGTGTGGGAGGATGTCCTGTCTTAAAAAGTCCTGCCTCATGGTCTTCAACTCTTTAGAATTCTCAATTGAGATGATTCTTTTCACCCTTGACCACAGTGATTGCTGGTACGAAGGATGCTGCACCAGAGCATGAGGTAATGTGCTTATATTTATGTTGCTTCCTGGTCAGAGTCTCTGCTTCCCAAATTAGTTCCTTAAGTAATAATTCTAACACCAACAGATACTTTAACAACAATTAGGTATTTCCTCCATGCCCAAGTCTTCGGTCACCCTTCCCAACCTCACAGCAAGACAGCATATGAACAGACAGCTAGCTGGCAGAGGCTGCAAGTGCTGGCAAGGGGGTGGGGTCTCAGTGGGACATATGTGGCAGAGCTTCTTTATTTGGAAGGGACAATAACTCAGCTGGTCAGAATACTTCATCACAATAGTCACATTCCTCTCTAGCTCTCTTGACTCAGGGACAGATGCAACTAAACCCATATTTAATAGCCACTAAAGCAAGATGTACTGGGAATCCATTTCCTACATTTTTTTATACAGGGAAACTTAAAATATGGATTAAGACTAGAATTTAATACAGTGGTTTCTTTTTTAATTCAGAAGTTGCTTACTTTATGGCCAGAATCTATTTAGATTTTATCCTCTGCCACTTTGCTCAACTACATAAAGGAAATTTCCTTCCCACTTCCCAAATGAACATTGCCCAGGGAGGCAATGTGCATTTAATTATACAATGTAGATGACAACAACAAAAAACAAATACATCCTTCAAACGAAAAGAGTCTAAAGTTACTGAAACACAATGTAGTACATGGTACAAAAAAAAATTAGGAGACAAGGAGAAAATGTCAAAAATCAATACACAAAAATGTTGACTAGAGGGAGGGATTAAGTGTGGTATAACTTCTTGCTCCCTCACTCAGAAGTGAACTTACGGAACTGTATCGGAAATTTCCTTTTCATTTGATTTGCCCGCAAACTGTCTTACAAGTAAAAGGACGCCCTATACTCAAGTGCCAGAGGATAGGGAAAGATGAGGAAAGGCATCTGTCTTACCGGTATCTGTGCAGTCAGCTCAGGGTGGGATAGCTTGCTTAGGACCCAGGCCATGCCTGTGTGACCCAAATGCTAGCTCCATGGCCCTTCACATACCTGCTTCCAGGAGGGGTGGAGTGGCTCTCAGGAGCTTGGGAGTCTGACTGTATTGACCATGTCGGGCCAGCAGGACTGAGGACAGGCCGAAGGGTGGGGGGAGTTGAAGCACTGCTTCTGTTTATGATGCCACTTGCCAAATTCAGGTTTGTTACCTAGAAATGAAGTGAGGGAAATAACCTGATTTTATGGAGTTTTAGAAAAGTATCATTAAAAACATATGGGGAAAAATCAAGTAAAGTCCAGGAGATGCTGACTCATCTGAGCGGAAACAGTGGCAGTGACAAAGGTACCCATTAAAGGCTGGCTTCTGTGCACGTTGAAGAGTGGAAGTAAGATGCTGGTGTCAACATAAGTTAACAAGCATTTATTCTGCTCCTACTATGTGCAAAGCACTGTACTGTGCTGGACACTGAAATACAAAGATTAACAACAAAAACGGCAAGTATTTACCAAGTATTCACTCTGTGCCAGGCAAGGTTCTAAGAAACTAGGCAAACTACCTAGCGTTTCTGGCCCTTGTTCCCTCACGTGAAAGTTCTAAATGCTCAATAAATTTTAGTTATAAGTAATTATTATTATTATAATAGACAAAGAACTTATTCATTTAGAAAGAAAAAAGATTCAGTCAATAGAAAAATGGGCATTGACTTCAATACACAACTTACAAAGAAAGAATATAATTAGCCAATTAAACATTTAAAACTAGTCATTTCCACTGGCAATTAAAGAAATGCAAATTACAAGATATCACTTCTGTATGTTACATTGGTATACCATAATAAAAAACATAATACCTAATAAAAGCAAGGGCTGATATTAGATTAGTTACTTATACTATTTCTGTGACTACAAATTGGTAGAATCTTTCTAGAAATAAATTTGGCAATATATTACTGAAGGTATTATTAAAATAGTCATACACTTTGATGCTACAATCTAACTTTTAGGACTCTGATAGAAAACAATTGCAGATGATTAATGATGATGACTATTATAAGAGCAGTTACTATTTAGTAGAACTTACAATGTGCCAGGCTCTTTATAAATGAGTACATTACATGCATCTCATTTAAACTGTCATAATTCTACTGGTAAGTACTATTATAATTCCCATTTTACAAAGAAGGAAACTGAGGCCTAGGAATAAATGGCAGAACTAGGATCTGAACCATGGTCTTTAGACTCTGAAGCCTGTGTTCTTACTATAATATACTGTGAACAGATTTTGAAAAGCACTGATTTTAATATCGAAAAAGGAGAAGATCTAAATGGCTAACAGTATTGTTGAATTTTGCTCTATCCAGATAAGGGAATATTACATATCCATTAGAATTTTTTGAAAAATATTTAGTGATAATGGCAATATGCTGATATCTCGAGTTAAAAAAAATCACTATATGATACTGTTTACGGAACAGATCCAAATTTCCTTAAATGCACACACACATAGATACACACTCCTAAAAGACTAGAAATAAAAATTCAAAACATAAACAGCGTCTATTTCTGAATCGGTGACTTATTTTCTTCCTTATACTGACCTATATTTTCCAAATTTCCTATATTGCGTATGCATTTCTTTTATAATCCAAAAGACAAATTTTAAGTTATGAGAAATACAGATGTGAGGTGATAAGCTTAAAACTTGGGTAGTGAGAGTGGAATCAGAAAAGAATGGATGGTTTGAGAAGCATTTCAAAATAAGATGCACAGAGGATGCAGAAAAGAGGAAGGACACAAAGCTGAAGGCAAGGTGGTGAGTGTGAGACACTAGAGGATAGCAATGTAAGGAAAGTAAATTCCAAGAAAAGTGTTCTATGAAACGTCCTAAGAACCTAATAATTTTGACATTTACAAATAGAAGAATTCTGGATTTTTAAAAAATCTCAAAATTCTGAAAGAAAGAAAAGTAACTTCTAGCAACAGTATATAATGAATTCAATAAGTGAAAACAACCCAGGACTGTCTCTTCACACCAAAGGACCCAAATATTTTTCTTGGGAAGAAAGGCGTTCTCCACAGGTCAGGGGTGATTTCTGGTGTCTGCAGATGCTGGGCTACGGGACACTCAGGCTGCGCCCTCCAGGGTGGGCCTGTCTCAGTGTGGAACCAGCCTCAGGAGCCAACCTGGGCTTATCATTTCCAACCCTCTTCTGCTGCTACCAGGGAGAGAAGAAAGATACACACTGATTGAAGGACAGGGGAGATACCGGGGCAGAGTGTGGCAATATTCTCTGGCCCCTGGCGTCTTGGAAGCCCTTAGTCCTTCTTCCTGCATCCTTGCGGCAACATAGTCAGGTTCTCAGACAATCAAACAGACTCCCTGTAGGACTGAACTCATTCTTGCCCCACACGGAGCCCTCCTCCTTCCTGCCCTGATCCCTGGCCTTAAACATCAGGCCTCTCAAATTAGACATGAGCTTGCAGCTTGTAAAAATACTACAAAGTGAGAAGTTCTTTATGATAACTAACAGCTTCTCCAATTACAGCCTCAGGTCAGTCGTGCCAAAAACCCAATGAAAGAGGCTTATTAATAATTTATAGTGGAACAGGAATAAAATAAACAAAATGTACACACTCTACCATGGTTAGCATAAACTGTACAGTTTGGAGATTAGTGAATGGGAAGGAGAAGAGATATCAGATTTGATAAATCTTCTCTCTTTTGGCAAGGCTGCCTCTAATTTAAACATCCTCATTTTCATCATAATAGCTAACAGTTACTGAATGCTCACTCTGTGCCATGTACTAGATGTCCTTGCATTATCGTGATGTGCATTATCTCATTTAACCCTGAGCAAGTCTTTCCAGTAGGTTCTATCGTTACCCCCATTTTACAAGAGGAAACTAAAGTCTAAAGAGAGTAAACAATTAGACTTAAGTCATACCTACTAAGCGGCAGGGCTAACATTAGAACAGAGAATGTTCTCCTCCAAGTACACGCGGTATATACTTTTTCCAAATAACAGGGTTTAACGCTTGAGTCCTTACAGTAGTAGTGTCAGGCACCTGTAAATGTGGTTTTACATCTCACTTACTCCTTACCCATTACTCACGGAGGTAGATACTATAATACTCCCTTTCAGAGATGAAGAAACTAAGGCTCAGAGGTTATCGTAAGCAATTTCCTCAAGGTCACATACAGTTGCAGAACTGGCACTCTTGTTTTAAAATCCATTTTGTAGTTTTGAAACTAGTAGGGAAATACTCCTAGTTATCCTTAATTATTAGAGATTTTTGAATATATAATCAGATACAGACCTCAAATTCTGAAAACAGTGATTATACAGGGATCAATTACACCAAACTATATCAACTTTTCCTTCTTTCCCTTAAATTTTATTTCCCTCTTGTTACCCTTCACAAAAGATATTAAAAAAGTAAAGCAAAGAAAAACCACCCTCAAACAGTTTTGTTTCTTAGCAGGTATAATAAAAGGTGGCATGAAGATGAAACTAATTTTGGAATCTCGGTGGATTTTGTTTCTTTCTATGTAAAGGACATCCATTCCTTATTTCATGGACAAACCAAGAAGTGGTAGCCACTGTGATTTCCTTCTACATAAAAAGCAAAGCACCATTGTTAATTTATTCTGAGAAATAACAAAAGTGACCACTACTTAAATGAGAGATTATATAAAGAATAAGAAAACTTTCGAAGTTTCTCATCTTTCTTTTCAAAGGACTCCTGCTAAAAAAATAACTTGTCTCTATTAAATAATAACAGCCTAGCCCTCTAAATACTCTGTGCTTACTTCTGTGGTTTTGTCTAGAAGACATTCAGTACCTATGCCACAACCACGCCCCACTCTCCAGCTCGTGTCTTCCTAGGACATACATTGCTAATAAATAATCAACCAATTTGGGGCTCTCTGAGACATGGCCTCAGAATCCTCTTTACAGAGTCCTCCAGGCAGCCATCACCAATCGATCAGAAGAGACAAGGGGGATGAATCTATTTTCAATCCCTATTCTACAACACTGCTATCCAAAAGGATGTACTGTGATGATGGAAATGTTCTATAATCTGCAATGTCCAATACAGTAGCCACTAGCCACATGCACTTGAAATGTGGTGCGGGTGACTGAGGAACTGGATTTTAAACTTTAACTTAAATTTAAAAAGGTACACGCAGGTAGTCCTATCTTATTGGACAGCACAGCTCTAGAGCCTCAATCAGATTTGGCTGAATCTTACATAGAAAGATTTATGCCTTGCTAAAGTTTGGTCCAAACAAATTATCTCTAGATTAAATGAATTACGAAAGCCTTTGGTCCTTCCTCTCAGCTTACCAGTTTTTCCAGGATGGGCAGAAGGAGTCACTGAACTAAAATAGACTCAAGCATCAGTTTTGACCCTAGAAACACCATACCTTGACTAGGGAAGACCTAAGGGCAGGGCAAATCTCCCATTATTGGACCAGACCTTAATAAACTCTGCAAGCCAATTAAGGTTCACACCTGGAGGTTTCTTCCCTAACAAGAAGAGGATGCTGCATCTGCTTCTCTGTCTATCTATATTTCTCCAGGTAACATCACAAAACCAGCTTTGATCAGATTGAGAGAAAGTGGAAAATGGCATTTATATATACGTGATTTGCAATGATGACTAATGTTTCACTGCTAAAGAATTTTAAACGAGGACAGGCTTACAGCACAGAAAGACACAGCACCAGTCACAAAATAGGTGGCTCATCATTTTGTTAGGAGTATTAGGCTATTAAGGTGAAGGCTGTAGCCACTGGGCCAGTTGGCTTCTCTGGGCTAACAACCCGAGTCTATGCTACTAAATCTAGGCTGGCCAACTCATGAATTCATGCCACTGGTCACAAGAGAATCTGGTAGACAGACGGGATAGTTTAACTAAAATCCATTTTAATTACTGAAACTATGACTCAAAGAACATGCCTTATTGATAATGGACATCAATATCTTTATGTGCAAAAGTCGATACATGCACATAAGAACCTTGTAAGTCTGTGTTTAGACCTCTAAAATGTTCTACCATAATCAATTTTTAAGCAAATATGAAACCTTTCAGGTTCCACTACAATAACAGTAATCATAACAACAAAATCATATTAGCACTACTGATGCCTAAATTTAATGAACACTTAGCTTTTGACAGGCATTGTTCTAAGCACTTTGTGTAT